TTGCGGGTAACACACAGCTTAAAATTTTCATACATGGACTTTTCCACTAACACCAGTTTTACTCAATTTATGGAATAACAAGTTTCAGTCGATATTTTCGAAGGAATTACTGTAGTCTATGAAGGCACAGTGTAAACGTTCACCATTCGAATGGCATTATTATAGTTTGTTCTGGAGTGTGCAAATTTAATTCTGTTACTGGCATCCCGTGTGTTACTATAAATATTTCTATATTTGACGATGTCGTCCCTGGCAGTATTGAATCAAACCACCTATTAGTAATTTACTTTGGAGGTCTTTTGATGAGGGCGCCAGTTTTTGTGCCACCAATGACTGTGAAACTAACATCAAATAGACATGTAGTAAAATTGTTAGCCGTGCGATTAACACTTTCAGAGTTTGTGTTAAATTCATCAAGAATATGTATTAGTTGGTCTGTATTATCAAATAGTGTATTATGTAAAAGTGTTGTACTTTCTGGTTCCCATTTTAGAGAACGAATGTTAACGCAATTTTCCGATTGGGCTCCACCGTCACTTTTACTATTGACACAAATATCACAGTTTATAGATAATATTGAAGGGGCGTGATCTGAATAAACCTAAAAGCTATCACTTCAAACTTTGAATAAAGTCAATGCAGCATCATGTTGCTCTATGATACTAAAGTTTGAGTTCAAAGAATTTTTACTAAACACAACAATACCACCTATATTTTGACATTTTGATCGGACTATTAAGTGTTTGTCATAATCTGGTAAGGTACATCGCTTCACGTTTTACCGGTAGAAATGCAAAACAAATAAGCTAAATTTGCTTATATATTCAGAGAAATTTTCGTCATTAAGTTTTCCCGACAATCCACCATTAATATACCAACATAAAATTGTAAGCTGACCTCCAAACCTGTCCTATCTGGGATTATATAATTCACCATTTATATACAATTTATCCTGAATCAAAGATACGCGATTATTTTGCCACAACCTCCCTAGGAAATTGTTCTCCAATGCCGAAACCTGTATCTTTCAATAGGTAGCCACATTTACGTATTTCTTCCCTCTCGGGGAAATAATTAAATTTAGCGACACTCGATCTGGAATCTTTGTCAGCAACCAAATTAACTGACACTATATCAGCGTTATTATCATGGGGGTATTTTGCCTAGTGTTTCACCTTTTCCAAGCCTATGAAGACGAATGACAGGTTGCTCACAGGACGATAGTTCTTTTTTGTTTTTCAGCAAAGGATTTATAATATCTTTTTCAATTATTGTGGAATACACCAGTCGATAATGAAACATTTATCACATCGACGGGATTGGATCTAAGCTACACGTAGTTGGTATTGCATTGCGGATGAGATTCACTGTGGTAGGGTCAACATTTTAGTATGAATCAAATGATATATCTAAAACGGATGACTCATACTTTAGGTGTCCTTCCAGGTTACGACAAATGGTTTCTACTTTATCTTGAAAGTAACAGGATTCGATTTTGTAGCACCGAGAAAACGTCAAACTGTTTCAAACATGCATATTGCTGAAAACAACATGTGCGTTGTCTATAGAGCTATATGCGTTACATCAGGCGAGATCTGCCTTAGTGTGCCGCGAAATTTTGAACGGCACACTAAGAAAATGGGTAAAACCACGTGATCCAAATTGAGTATTCACTGGTGTCTATTGGTAAGTTCATTGCTGGGTTTTTCTTTCTTTTTTTTTAGTTTGAGTCACTTTATGTGCCTATGACTAGTCTGTGTCTACGGTTGTATGCCGTCTGTGACTTGCCATGTTTTTATTTTGCAAAATTCAAATATTTTTCATATATATTTCATGTGTTCCAGGGTGTGCCGTCGGCAAAAAAGGTTGAGAACCACTGACTTAACCTCTTTGCACGTTTTAGCTTTCACCGCACACACTGCCGTCGCATCGGCGAAATTTGGCTATGACAATTAAGGATTTATTAATCACTTTCATTGTTAGATCTGATATATCTAAACCATAAATATACATTTGCGTAAAAATAAGTTTAGATGACCTAATTTACGGCTTGGGAACATATCTTTAAATATTAACAGCAATAATGGTACCATGTCGAATCATACAGTTATGAAAAAGACCTTTCGGACCCTCAAGTCCACATCAAAGTACAAAATAGAGGGTGGTCTCATTAATAGAGTAACGATTACAACCCGTGTTTAATTGCTTACAGGCTCAATACAGACAGTCAACAACATTATAGAACCACTCTCCAAGATAAGACCAGAGCGAACCGCTTTGTATTAGCAACGCAGTCGGCAGTTGACTAATTGCGTGACATCTCGCCAACATGATTTTTTAATAGTTCGGCCTAAATTAATCGGTTTTGATAACCTAATGGAATCATTCAATATTTGTAAATCGAAGCATAAACAGTTTTTATCCAAGTCGTTAATTTATTAAAGGGAATTACGTGTTCCATGTTCTCTTTATCGATGCATCAGGAGACCGCCCACGATAACTTCAAATATATACATATCGGTAAATTTCATTTTCTATCATTAAGACATGACGGGAGAGGTCATTAGTTACATTTGATATTTCCATAGTTTATTGACCGTAAAAACTCAGAGAATGCTGACATGATTTTTTTATATACTTAAACTTCATATGCATGATTTAAGATATAGATTTGAGAATTGCACAAGACAAACTATTGACCTGTAAGAATGCTACAGCATCCTTTAACCTCTAAAACGTGAACCCTAAAACAAATGTTAATATGACAATCTTAAAATGTAAGTTGGAAAATACAATTAAAAAAAAATAGTGGAACAGAACGGTTTGAAAGAAAAAGCACTTCTTTTTTGATTATTTGGTTTATTTTAGAAAAGTAACTATCGCCCAGTAACTCAATAGTGACAAATGTCGTGTACGAGGCAAGATTTGATTATTATTTCTAAAATACATGATACCCATTTTATTAGAGAAGTTCATATAATTTATAAGTTAACCTATGTGGTTGATACTAATACGTTAATCTGTTTTCTTGTAGGTTTTGATTTACCTGTCGGGTCAATGATGGCAAGATGGTTTAACAACATTACAAACTACGTCGTTTCCTGATTAACTAATGTTAATGGTATATTAGATATTTTAATAATTCGCCTTTGCGCAGGCGTCTTTAACAATGACATAAAACAGAGAGGAAATCGCGTATTTGCATTAATGACAGACCCTGTAATCTCCAGTGCACGTATTCAGCCAAAAATACTCTCGCCCCTTGGAGAATTGTACCTTTTTCGACGGGTTGGGTGATGCGACTAATAATATTTAAAGCAAATTTAGCAGTAAACAAACTGGCTCTAAGGCCAATGTTTTTTTTATGCCACTTAGAATATCTATAAGCCAATACTTTCTTCGCGATACCAAACCCATTGGATCTGTCGATTGCTTCACTTAATCCTACCCAAACCAACAAATGTTTTCGTCATAACCTATTGAAATATCTTATGTCTTAAACTATTGCCAGATGTCTAGTCGTTCGGATGGGACGAAAAACCGAGGTCCCGGGTATACATTGGCATGTACGTAAAAGATCCTTTGGCAGTTGGAATTCGATATAAGAGTAGACATAGTGTCGCTGCCCGGGCAAAATTTCCCTCATAACACATTGCATGGTGTATGCCCGTCTTCATTAGCCAAGTCGGAGCAGAACAGTAGTACGTCAAACCCCATTTCATTTCATTCATTTCCTCAAAATATTTAAGTTTAAGAATGAGCAAATGTTTTAGCGGAATCATTGTTTTACTCTTAAAAAAACAAACAGTGTATTGAAATGTCATATTTATGTTAGTACAATAGTTTACGTTAGATAATATATTAAAGGAGCTAACATCATTTAATATCAGTTTATATTTTTGTGTTAGCCTCGATGTTTTTCCTTCAATGCAGTAATTGAACGCTCTTTTGAAACCCGACTCTTGCACCGGATGCGCTCAATGCGTGAATGGTTTATCATACTGATGTGTAAAACGAAGACATTGTACCTTATTACAAAGCATATGTATTAGACCCCCTTTGCCCGCATTGAATATCAAAGAGATATTTTTGTTACATGGCAAATGAAGAATACATAGAGAATATATTATTTATGGTAATGCTTAATGAATAGATTTTTTTTTTAAAGTTTGATTATTGTAACCAGACCTTTGATCTTCATCCAATGCATATTAGAATTGTCATGGTGAAAGCTTGCCATAAATATTTAATATTTAGATATATCAGTTGACCTATTTAAAATATTTTAAAGACTTTAACCATAAAGCATCGCGATCAATGTCTGAGATTTCAACGAAGATATAACGTAAATTTTATGATATGACCATTAAGGATTCATGTATTTTTATAGAGCCGTAAGGCCGATCAAAAGCAAAGCAAACACTGCTGTATCTGCAAATCAAAGTTTATAAAAAGCTATCAAGGAGCTTGTTATTCAAAATCAGTGTGCTTTTAGCTGTTTTTTTTCTCTGTTTTCTTTCAGTAAAATAACCTTATGTTCACACAGACAATCAAAGAATTAGCCTTTAATTCCATTACGCCTGTTTCTGATCAATCGCTCATACAAGCAGCTAATGTGTATACTGTCTGAATTACCCCAACAAGTTATGACAAGCCATCTAGCTTGCCAATTTTACTCATATTGATGATGTGTGGAAATAAAATTACTAACGCCGAAGCTTTCTTGTTCCTCACATGAGGTAGCAATTATTGCCTCTCCTATCGATTTTGGAACCAGATTTTGTACTCAACCCATTTTATTTTGATGATGCCCATTCAATGTCGGTACTCACGACTTTTATATGGAAAAATGTCAACACCCACGTAGGAATTACATTGCAAGTCCATGAAAGGCAATAAGGGCGGGGCCAATCGCGTGTCTAATATGAGACTTAACACGCCTTACGGTATATCTAGAAACAGTTTATAGAAAGAGATTTAAGATTTGTTTTCATCCACGGCCCACGCTTATATATTTGTCATTTTAAAACGTAAATTTTTATTGCGACGTCGAATTATTATTTTGCATTTTACTGTATGATCGGAATTGAAAATAATTTAGCCCACGTAGAGCTGCCATAGATTTTGAGAGTGGGAACCAAGTTATTATTCTTACATCGAGTAGTTTCTTCTTAAGTATCTGCAAAGTGGATGGCTATTCTTTATTAACGATACAGACAGAAAGTGACATCGTGGAGATAAAACAATTGTACAAAAACGTTTGCTCTTCCTGGAATTAAGTTGAAGGAGACGGGTGAGTGTTCACCTTTTTTTCTATAAATAAAACCCTTGCAAAATGCATGTACAAGCCAACTTATTTAAAGGGTGAAATGTTTGGTAAGAATATTTAAATTAAACATGAACGAGTATTACATTTAGCCCCCCCCCTCCCCCGATCCGTTCAATTGTTCTGATATGTCACAATGTGTTTGTTGTATATTGTGTCATGTCCGCGGGGTTGTCTTGTGTAATTGTTTGTGTTTGGTGCGGTTCCCGACCACTTACTATTTAACACCCTACCGGAATATCTGATAACACTTCCAATGTTGGTTATGCCAATTCCACTTGCTGTTATTCGATTTCGTCGAATTCGGTAATCGAACTTTGAAGTGTTACTATACTAGTTATGATCGATTATGTCCTACTTAACTTTTAGATTTTGCCCAAACTTTATTTCGGGATACTGATATTTCTTTTGATAAAACACCCCAAATCTGCGGTAAGAACCAATGGAGGAAGTGCATCTGGATGTAAGATAAGGATCAATCATAAAAATATAAAATTACTATGCACTCTCTGGAAATATATATTTTGTTATTAGACAATACTGCTACACAATACACCAAAGTAGTTCTTCTCAAGGCGAGCATCGAGAAAACATCCATATAGTCGATTGACCGTTGATCATAATCCAATGGTTAGGATCCATAATCATAATCCAATGGTTAGGATGTCCCAGCCCGAGAAGAATCGCGGTACTTTAAAATGTTCTTCTCGCTTTTCAGGGGCCTCGCTAGCGAGAATGTCAGGGCAAGTTCCGATTGCACCAATGCATGTTTTTAAGGTGTACCTATAGCTGTGGGCTTAAGATAGCCTTAGAATTTGATATAAAGGGTAGGAATTTGGAAGAAAATGCTACTTTCTGGACAAACTTCCCTAGTATTACACATGTCATAGAAAATGAACCATATTTTAGTTTTCGATTTCGCATTGCCTTTGATTAAGATACAGAGCTGACGGTTCTTGCTATAATAGTTCAAAAAATAGATAATGAAAAATAAATATATCGAAATTTCAGTCAATATACTTTATTCTGAGAGAAGTTTGGGGTATTTTAAGTTTTGACATGATAGTGCGGGGTTGGGTGGCCGAATGGTAACGTGCGCGCGTTACATCACGAGGTCTGTCATTCGGTCAGGTGGCATCTTTTCGATTCCCCGCTTGTACGTGACAACGAGTAGGGTTGCTGATCCAACCTTGTGGGTTTTCTCCGGAACCTCCGATTTCATCCCACTGTAAAGATACATGCGCGCCAGCGAATTATTGAAATAAAATTGAATCATGTTATATCCGAAATGACCTAGTTTGTGTTGCGTGGACGTTAAAACACACACACACACCCATCCTGCTTTCTCGTTTTTTCTATTCGTATAAAAATGAAATGGAGTAAAACAATAAAATCTCTCATTGGCCTTTTCTTGTCAAATACATCAACAATCACCGGGAAAGAAAAATATATTCGCTGCAGAGCTCCCGGATTTATTTACTTTATCGATTTGTTTTAGTATATCTGATATCAGAGAGATAAGAACAGGATTCTCTATTTATCCTTAATGGTTTAAACCACCGTCCGTATATTAGCTTGAACACGCACTACATTCTTGATTTGTGTGAAATGTTTATTGGTAAGGCTGTATTTTCTAATCGCAATTTTTAAAAAAAATTGGATACAATTAAGGACAGTGTCTAGTCGTTCGGATGGAACGAATAACCCAAAGTCCCGTGTACACACTGACGCGCATCTAAAAGAGCCCGATAGTTCGAATTTGTTATAAGAGTAGACCGTTGCGCCGCTGCCAGGGCAAAATTCCCCTCATAGCACACTGTATGGTATGAACCCGTTTTCATTAGCCTAGTATATATGCAGCAGAGAAGGATGTTAAACCCCATTTCATTTCAAATATGGCCACCTCGACATGATGTTTTCGAAACAAATAAGTCTATATGAAGACAAGTAGTACTACTTGTAAGTCAGTTTAATTTATCAAATAATGTTGACCCATTTTCTTTACTGGCACCGGACTAATTATCTACCTAATCGTATTTAAAAACATAGTGTGTACGCAAATACGGAAGCGTATAGGGGTCAAGCAAAATTTTGTAGAAGATCTCGAGGTCCTGCGAGTCTGTGATACTTTCTCGAGATACCGTTATCACATGGTATTTTTCTCAAGATCCCAATTTTCCAGACATTGCCCCACCCTGTGTTAAAGATCTCGAGAATTCGAGTTAAGTTCTCGAGATATTGACATCCTGTGTAAATTTCACGAGATTTCGAGTTAATATTATCGAGATCTTGACAACATATGATAATGTCCCCATATCTACAGTTTTCCCGAAACAGTATCATAGTGTCTTCACGTTGTGAAGCAAGCATGGACCCAATGTTCAAACAAAATTTGAAAAAAAAAAGTCCCTAAAAATAAAAATAAAATATACTTAAGATTTGTTAAAAAGGAAAACTGTCAACTGATGAACGAATAATTGAGAGGGTTCATTCATTCTCCTATGCTTTACACTAATTTTGATAAAAAAAAAGCCCAATACGTCCGAAACTCTATGGTGTTAACAGGAAATTATTGAGGGACGGGTAGATGGACAGACGATTACAAATGAAAATCCACTTTATTCACACTAAAACTGAAAAAGGAAACCGTATTCTCCATAGTTTGCACGAAATTGTAAAATTGACGGACAGATAAACTTCAAAACCGACAGATCTCGAGAATTCGAGTTAAGTTCTCGAGATATTGACATCCTGTGTAAATTTCACGAGATTTCGAGTTAATATTATCGAGATCTTGACAACATATGATAATGTCCCCATATCTACAGTTTTCCCGAAACAGTATCATAGTGTCTTCACGTTGTGAAGCAAGCATGGACCCAATGTTCAAACAAAATTTGAAAAAAAAAAGTCCCTAAAAATAAAAATAAAATATACTTAAGATTTGTTAAAAAGGAAAACTGTCAACTGATGAACGAATAATTGAGAGGGTTCATTCATTCTCCTATGCTTTACACTAATTTTGATAAAAAAAAAGCCCAATACGTCCGAAACTCTATGGTGTTAACAGGAAATTATTGAGGGACGGGTAGATGGACAGACGATTACAAATGAAAATCCACTTTATTCACACTAAAACTGAAAAAGGAAACCGTATTCTCCATAGTTTGCACGAAATTGTAAAATTGACGGACAGATAAACTTCAAAACCGACAGTCTTATGGCCCCAGTGCTTCACATCAAATTTTTTTTTTTATATATAAACAATATTTATTCAGAAAACTGAGGGGATTGGGGAACAGGCAAAGCCTATATAAACCCCTCTCCCGGTTACAATAAATTACATAATATTACAATATTTTGAAAATAAAGAAGAAAAAAGAATAGATAAAAGGAAATTATATATATATATATATGTACACATAACCCAATAAAAATATTTACATGTAAACATAAGTTTGAAATAATTAAAATCAGATATTTTTTAAAATCTAAATCTTTCGGTTTGTTCAATAAAATTATGGACCCCGTTAAATACTGACACGTTTTCGTTGTATGATAGTGTTTCCGATCCATATATATAGTAGCACTTTAGTGTTTTGTTGTGTATGAGGTAAAGTGTCGATTGTTCTGTGGCGAGCATCTGAATACAAGGAACATACAAGGAGATAGTGATAAGGATCTTCTATTATATTACCACATAAACTTTCGGGGGTGTTTGAAATATGTCTTGTAAATTTATGAAAATTTAGATTACTGCAGCCTAGTCTTAGTTTAGTATGTATAATTTGATTTTTACGTTTGCCAATATAATAAAAGAGAGGTATTTTCGGATCACGTTTAGAGAGTTCTTGTTTAAATTTTGAGAGTGATAAGACATTTGTTATGGCCGGATCTAGGCTGTTCCAGAGTCGGATAGCTGATGGAAAGAATGAATTGTAATAGAGAGATGTTTTGCAGAATATTTCATCTAATTCTGGTTTACTTCTAAGATTATATGGAGATGTTTTTAATTTAATGTGGTTGGATAAATAATTTGGAACCATTCCATTAATAATTTTATATATTGTCTGTAATTTATGTCTTTTTCTTCTTTCATTCAAAGGAATAATACCAGTTTCCAGATAGAGTAAACGGTGGCTAGTTCCCTTTACAGCCCCACAAATAGTGCGTAAGGCGTCAAGTTGAAGGTGTTCTAGTTGGTTCACTAGGTGATCAGTGCAATTGTCCCAAATAATGTCCGCATAGTCGAAATGCGGTAGTATATAAGAATTGTAAATTATGCAAAGAGATTTTCTATTTAGCCTGTACTTTAGGGATCTTAAACAATTGATTAATTTTGATACTTTATTACAAATATTATTTATGTGGATATCCCATTTAAGTTTGTGTTGGAAGAAAAGACCCAAGTGCTTGTGGTTTTGCACATCATTTATTTTAACAGTATCCATAAAAAGTGGTGGTATGTTATTGTGTGGTTTGATAGATATTGTTAGTGATTCTGTTTTGTGGGGTTGAAGGAAACCAGCCATTTTTTTGACCAAACGTTGATTTTCTCGATATCCGAATCCATTATTTTCGCACTTTCCGACGGATCTTTTATCAGTAAGTAGAGAGACGTGTCATCAAATTTGAAAAACAAAACCCTACCGCCTTAACAATAGCTTTGAATGCGAATTTGCTTCTTAAATTTCAATATAATGTGTGGTCGTCGCTATATTGAAAATGTCATTTTGTACATGGTTCTCAGACCATATTAAAAAAATAAAGCTAGGGATTTGATCCGGCAATTTTGAATTAATTACAGCTTTTGGATAAAGCGAAAGTGTAACTGCATTGAGTTTCGCAGTGAAAGGCGCTGTACCTTTCGGGGGTCAGTTGCATAATTATGTATCCTTCAAGAAATCTAATCTCTATCGTGTTCATAAGCCTTCCGGACAAGTAATATTAACAGAAAATCTTACATT